GTTTCAATGCTTTTGAGGGTGTGAGTGTGGGTCTGGGTATCTTATTATCTTTATATGCACACACACACCCACACCCACACCTTATAATTCCTTCATAGAGTCACATTTGCATCCTCTTCTCTCACGTCTTGTTTTCAAACTCACCCAGTTTATTTTATAAAATATTTCTACGTCATTCAATTTTTTATACTCTTTTTCCGAGAAAATCACACTGATGACGTCAAAGAAAAAGAAAAAGAAACACAACATTCATTTCTAGAATCTTGTTTATTTATAGTCGCTTTTGCTTGTTATAGGAAAGAAAAATTGCTTTTTCCAACTAACATCTTGGATTTTTCCCAGAAACTTTACTGACACATATAAGAGGACAAGAAGTCTTCGGATTTTAATCAACAGACAATATTCCAATCGTTCCTACATAGACAGGTAAGACCAAAAGATGACAGAATCATTGAGGGTGAGGGTATGAGCACAGCGCATTTCAACAGCTGATACGCATGCTTTTATTGAACTGTCGACAGTTGTTGGTGATGTTCTTCTTAGTTCTGAATATAACTCAGTATTTCAAATGAATTCAGTGTTACATTTAGGATAAATGAAAATCAGTTATTTCACATCTGAATTCCATCTACACTAATTAAAGTATTCATATTTCTGAGAAGATCACACAATCGATAACTACAGCTTTGATGTACAAGAAAAAAGATTATATTATTCATTTTTGCCCATTTACGTAGAGTGAAATAATAAAGAACAGCTCAGTGATTCGGTAATAAAGTGTCACATTAGTTTCTTTCGTATGAGTAGTTGTATCATGACTCTGTCTAATATAGCTTTTCATTTATTAAAGAGTCGCAGCTCAGATAGCAGTATTGAACTGATGATGTAAAGAGTCTCATTTTTCTTACACTTCTGTCTCGTTTTCAATGTAATTTCGAGTTCTGTTGTTGTTTATTGCAGCTATACAAAACTTAATCGAATACCTATGGCAAATATTACTCGTCAAGATGTTGAACGTCTTCTTCAACAAAAATTAGCTGAACTTAATCACATGGAAATTACGTTAAAAAAAGAGTTTACTTCAATAGTTGATGCGAGTTTAGAATACCTTATAAAATCTGATATTTTACCAAACAAATATTCACGTGCACTTCAATTAATCGACCGCTTGTCTAAAGGCACAATTAAATCCGCAATTAGTCGAGGACTAGGTTCAATCATTGGTCATGCAATCACTTTCGATACTATTCGAGCTACTCATGCAGCAATGGAAGAAGTTTTAAAATGGTTAGACAATACAAATGAACAAGATCCGGATAAAATCGGTTATATTATTGATGAATATATTCGTTTTTACTCAGTTTATTATGGTGAAGACTCTACTCTCGAAGACTCATCTATATTGAAACAATTTGAACCGGATTTAGCATTTCGAAAATATCGCAAATAATCTTAGCTATTATCTACCTAGAAACGAACTTTACGAGTATAGTTTAAATCAGAACTACTAATATGCTGCAATAATGAAAAGTTTTTCTTGAATAATTAAAGATTATTTAAACTAAAAAATATATCATGTTCGACGTGTCTCTCTATCAGACCATATCGAGGGTGTGGGTGTAGGTTTGGATGAGGGTATGAGTATTTTTTTTATCTACATATACACCCTATTTTCACATTCTTAGGATTTATTCTTTTTCATTTTATTTTCGAATTTGAAAAACAACCTAGGGTGGGTGTGGGTGAGGTTGATGAAAGCAAAGAATACACACACTCTCACCCTCGCCCACCCTCAAGGTGGTTTACCATTTGGTATGGAAGGAAATCTGTATGTTAGTAATTGGGGAAATCATCGAATTTAAAAATTTGATTTAATTTCTTAATAAAAATCTTCATTGAAAGAGAAACTTTCGTAGATTAAAAAAAAATGTCTTGATTTTTCAACTTTTGCATTTTGATAATCAATATAAAAATAGAAACAGATTTCATATCTTTACTAATAAAATATTTGCTCTTATTGAAAAAGTCTAAAAAAACGTTAAATTCTTTTACTTATAAAATTTTGATTATTATTCAAAATTAATGGAAAATAATTCCTTGTGAGAAACATAAAACTACACTCTTTGCATATAACACATCTAAAATATTTATGGGTGTGGGTGTGGATGTAGATGAATATAAAATGTACACTCATACTCTCAAGAAGTCATTTCACGTACTATGAGCGTTTGATATGAATGGAAGAGAGAATATGTATAGAAATGAAGAGAAAAAGAAAACAAAGTGCTGCAACCTATCTATAGAGCTTATGAACGACGATTGTATAAGTGCCATTTAATAATGCATCTGCAGGTAATATCATTACTAAAAATAATTTGAGGAAAGAGATATTATTTTCATTTCAATGCATATAAATTAACTATTTGATTATTAATTACATTTAATGCTGCCGTGTTAGTATAACTCAATTGTTTTTCTTCACTATTTATATCTTTATTCGATTCGATTCGCCTTGTTATAAAAACAAACTTTAAAATATTTATTGATTTTTTCACTGACCAGAAATTTTCTCTGCAGTTTTATTTTCAAGTATATATATATATCAGAATTACTTCCTTTCTGTCCTTCGTCTCAAGTATTTCATCTGCATTATATTTAATCACAACCTTTAATATGTATATTAGCGAGAGAAAATCTATAAAAAGGTAACATATTTTCGTCATACATATATAATAAAATAAATCATATGACGAAAGAAGAAGGCGGTAGCATTTATAATATAGAAATTCGATCAATACATACCTTTGAATACCTAACTGTAGTGACTTATTTTTTTATAATGATTCAATAAAAAGATAAAATTTCTCTGTGGTAACTAGTACTTAGTCGAGGTGTGGATATTATTTTTCATCAAAAAATCTCGATTATATAGTCAAAAACCTTCTTCTTTCTATAATAAAGAATTTTATAAAGATTGTCAAATCTAATACAAACAAGATTTCGACGAAAGACAAAAAATCAAATTCTATTTGTCGTCAATTTATTTCGAATTTTTCTATGTAGTAATGATTCAGTTTTAAAAGTTCGATGACTCACAATTGTATGAAAGGTAATATAGTATACTCATGTCGTTTTAATGGTAGAAAAAAAATGAAAATAAAGCTATTTAATTTACCTATGTATACAAATACACATTTTTTTCTTCATTAATATATATAAAAAAAAATATCATCAGTAAATATTGCGACATTCAATGTCAAATCTTACATATTGCTCAATTAATACCTGTCAAAATAATGGCCAATGTTTTTTAAATACATGTAATTGTACAATTTGTTACACTGGTTTATTGTGTGAACAAGAAAAATATTCACAAAATCTTTGGGAATTAGGTATTTCCAATGAGAATCGTTTCAAATATGATTCATTAATTCTAACTATCGCTTTATGTATAATCAGTTTTTTTTCACTTATAAGTAATTTCTTAGCCTTACAAACATACTTATCGAGTGAAAAAATTCGTATTACTAATCTCGGAATTTATCTAATACTTTACTCATTTGGATGTTTGATTGTAACGACAATTTTATTCCTATTTGGTTTGTTACAATATATTGGACTGGTATTATCAACTAATGTTATACGATGTGCATTTATAAGATTAATTAGCAATTCTATAGTATTCTGCTTAGTATGGCTTAATCTATATATCGCAATTGAACGTGCACTTATCGAGTATAATATAGTAGGCCTATATGATAGAAAAAGACGTTCATTGATCTTATGTCTATTATTGTATATTCTCATTCCACTATCAAATATTCTACCGATAATCTTTGGACGAAAACCAAACTATAGTCTTTGTACATTAAATCTAACATCAACTGGTTATTTTTTCTATTCTAATCTCCAGTATGTACACTATCTGGTTGGTCCATTTGCATTTACTATTTCATTCATTTTTATCATAATACATCTTTTCAAACATCGACGAAATCTTACTAATGAAGAGACAATATTTAAATCTATATGTTTGATTATGAAAAAACATTATGGATTTTGTGTACCACTTGTTATTTTCACTGCACTCATAAGTCCATACTTTATTCTTGGAAAGGTAATGACATGTGGTTCAGCTAATACAAGTTTAGTTGGTAAAATGACTACAATTACAAATATACTATCGAATTTAACCCTAGCTTTGACATTTCTAATGTATGTTTATCCATCATCAGTCTATATGAATGCATTTTGGCAAAGATCGTATTGTGGACGAGTTTTAGTTTACTTAAAGCGAAAATTTTGGAAGAAAGCAAATATCATACGACAGATGGATATGAGTGTAATAATAAAATAATTAAATTGATAATTTCTAAAAAATTTATTTAAATATTCATTCATAAAAAAAAAATTTTTATAATATAATTTATATTTTATAATAAAAAAAATTATTAATTGTTATTTTGTTTTTGTTCAATTAACTGCTGGTGGTGGTGGAATACTTGAATTCCAAACTGGTTCATTATGTGGTTGTGTTGAATCAACAAATTTCTCTGGATCATTGAGCAATATATCCAAATTATAAGTTAAATAACCTTTATTTCTATCAGACAATTCACTCAATTGATTTACTTGTGAAAGTATATGTTTAGTTGTATTTTGAGCAAGAATAGATCGGATTTTCATTCGACATAATTGTTTTAGTCGAAATCCTCTTTTCATACGTTCACAAAGTTGAAGAAATAATGGTTCTAAGATAGATACATTTTGTTGATCATTTAATCGAGACCTACATAGAGAAAATTGTGAATATTAGTTACATGTAATCCTATGAGGATAAATATCTTACATATTAAATTCTTGTTGTTGATGATCTAAATATTGTTGAAAACCTTTTGTTTCACATAATGGTTCAATAATATCCATTATATTCACACGTATATTTGGTACACGAAGATGTATTGAAAAACAAATTTGAATAATTTGTGCAAAATATTTATGAACATTAATTAGTCGAACAATTAATAGTTGTGATAAATAAACACGTGAAACTGAATATGATTGATTGATACCTGTTGGCCAAAGAACATGAAAAAATGTTTCCATATTTGTTAATGATAATAATTGAGATTGTTTTGATAGAAGATGATAAAGTTCATCTAAGAATGCTGAATGACATGTTAATGGAAGAAATATACAACCGATAATTAGTGCACGTAATATTGATTGTTGAGAAGATATTTTTGAATCAAGACGAAATACAATTCGACGATAAAGTGAACGAGATGATATATTATAAAAATATCGAGCTAGAAAAAAGAAAATTCTTTTTTTTTGTCAAAATAAATTCTATTCGATTAAGTAAATTACCAGCATCTTGAAGAAATAAATCAATTTTTGATTGATCTGATTCTGATCCTTCTTTTATCAATGGAAAATAAAGTATTGGTGTACTTTCAATAATAGCCATAACTTGAATTTGTAATACTATTGGATATGATATAAAATGATCAGTTAAATCAGCATAAACAATTTGATCTAGATATTTTTCTATTAAATTCGTGTATTTATTATCATCATGAAGTTCAATTAATTCATCGAGAAATGAAATAAAATAATGAACACGTTCATAAAATTTATCCGAACATAATGAACCAATTTCAGCTACAATTGATAAAAATAAAGATCGTTGATATGTTATAAACATATCTGCAATATTTATTAATGAAATTAAATACGAAGGTGAAATCATATCAGACATTGATATAGAAATATCTTTATTCTAGAAAATAAAAAAAGAAGGATATGACATACATGAAATTGAATAGAATACAGACTTCAAGAAGATCATTAATAAATTGAAGAGCACATTGTGCAGGTGTTAGATACGTCGGTTGTTGTTGTAATACAATTTCCATTATTTAAAAACAAATCTAAAATATGAAGAATATCACATGTAGTGTAAAATCCTCGATTTAGTTCTAATAAAACATGAGGCTTTTGACAAAATGGACATAAACCATTATAACCTGGTAAACATCTATTTGATTTTTGAGAATATCAATTTGTTTTTGTAATTGTTGAATCTGATCAATGGATACATCATCACTTTCATTACGTAGTTCTTGTATATTAGAAATTATTTGAGAAATTTGCTTGTCATATTTAAATATTATTGTCTTTACGATTGTATTCTTCATCAATTTCACGATATTTTTTATCACACCAATTTTGCAGTTGAGCTAATGGACCTATCTGATTATTAATTGGAATATTCATTTATAAAGATTCAAACAATCCGTTATAGGTATTAATTGATTATTAACTTGAATTTGATGTTCATAAAAATGTTTTGAACAGACGTCCTTGTTACAATGGCGACATATGCAAGTAACGGCTCGTTTACAGCCATCAATAGAACATACTAATGAAGGTGATATCATGCTATAA